CCATGTACACACAGATACACACACCCTTGGGGGGATATATGCTGCCTAGCAGTAAGCTCTCTGGATCAATGGGTATGGACATTTTAATCATTTTTTAAAGTAGAATTTCAAATTGCCTTCAGAATGGTTGCATGTATTCATAGCTCCACCAATAAATATTATTGGGTCTAAATTCCCTCAGCCCTTGAAACATTAACAATTTATATCTTTTACTATGCACACGCACACACACACACACATACATTCTACCACCACTTTCCTCAAGCTGCTTCTCTAATCCTTCCCATTGCTCCTATATATCCACCTAGGACTAATTCAATGGTAAGATTTCCATTAAGAATCATTTTTATGACTTCAGTCTTTATTTCATGAGTGTTCCAGTGAGCAGCCTGCTTTTCTTCCCTTATGGGTGAGTTGCTATTTCACCAAGACCCACCCACTCAGTAATATTTTATGTCACCAATTTGGTCCTGTATTTTAATGGATCCACTTATCAAGTGTTTATCTCACATGCAATCCCATGATCAAAATGGGTTCTACTCTAACCAGTAATATTCACAGTTTGCATCATTGCAGGACATGTGAAAGTATCTACATACATTACGTGATTGATGAGCTGTCTTAATCGTTACATCCACATTAGGCTTCCAGACCTGAATTTCAGTCAGACAGGACATCCCACATCATCATCTTAACATCTTACAGATCATACCAGTCGTCAGTGGGTCAAACTATTAAGAGCAACAAGCAAAACAACAGCATCATAAGAGGCACGATTACAGAGGAGACAGAAAGACCTGAATAAATCTAAACAATTAAAACAAAAAACATCTACTTCTTCCTTCTCATGAGTCCATATGGACAAGGTTCCAAAGGATCTAGATATTTACAATCTATATTCAGGCTTCTAGAAGATAAATTAAAAATCCTTATCTAAGCCACAACACAGATAGTTTATTTTAGCATAGCAAAACCACTCTGGATGACAATCAACAGTCATAGTTCAGTGCTGGTACAAATAACTTTTTCCAAACACCTAAAAAATACTCCAATTTTACATTTTCATTACCTTCTAGATATTCCCAGTTTTTTTATTTACCTTGTTTCTAAGAGGTGTTCTCTGCTCTTATCTTGACATTATATAAACATACACATATATGTGTATATATGTACCATAATAGAAGCAAGCATATCTAATATGCAAACATGCATATTACATATATACACGCACATGCACACAGACACACACTCTTAAGGCACAAATGACATTGTATAGTCACTCTCCCCTTATCTTTGATCCTTTGACTTAAGGCTGCTCACCATATACACTCAGTCAGCAGGAGGTTCTCCTAGGTCTGAATACTTATAATAAATAATTGTAATAAATGATCACATAACATAATAAATTATTATATAACTTACATAATTATAGAAATAGTTATTTAATCAAGAGAAGGAATAAAGTAATATCTGACATTTACATAGAAATTCAAGATTTACAAAGCTCTTTAAATAAGTCATGTCATTCAGGCCCCAGAGCAAATCTGTAAGGCAAATAATGCAGCAGACCAAAGCTGAGATCCTGAAAGGTCAAGTATTCTAACCAACGGCCAGCAAGCTCAGAGGCAAGGTCTGAGCCCAGGTTTCTTCTGAGTCAAGTACAATGTTCCTTCCACTACCTCATTAATTTCCTCTCTAAATTCTGCTAGTAATTCCTGATTTTTATTTCTTCACTGAGTACCAAAGTTAATGTAGCAAGGAACTCAATCAAATGAACAAGGCTAAAGTTCATGACAGGAAGGCAAAAAAAAAGGGGGGGGGGGGGAATAAAATACCAGGGGAAAAAGTAGAAGCTTTAATGAGCAGTGAAAGATCTTCTGGGAAAAAATGAAAATATTTCCTTTCCCAAGGTCCTCCTGGACTGTCCTTTGTTCCCAGTTAGGGGTGGAGATATGGAGAGAGACACTCTCTAATCCTCTTACCCTCAGGAAAAAAGGAGGAGGCAAAAAGCACACATTTTCATACATGACCAGTGTGTTTATTTGTTTTGATTGACTATTCTTACTTGTTACAAGAGAGGTACTATATTAAGGCAACTCAGTGGGGTTAGTAACTGCTGTCCACCACAGTGCCCACATCTCCACAGCACATATGCATGCTTTTGCCCTCCAAGCTTCTTTTTAAGTCAGAGAAAGAGAGAGAATAAGACAATATAAAATCTCTCTTTCCAAGACAGGAGATGAGATAACTGGCGTAAGGGTATGAACAAACTGTCTTCAAAAGAAGAATCACAAACTAACATCCATATGGAAAGCATATGAACCATACCAACAACTAACTCCAAATCACTAAAAATAGAAATGTAAAAAAAAAAAAAAAGCTCTGAGGTTTTACCTCAAACTCAACAAATTGGCAAAGATATATATATATAAATTTTCAATGTTTGATGCGCTGAGGGAATTCAGATATATCAGTGCATTATTGGTGAAGCTATGAATACGTCCAACCATTCTAAAAGTCATTTGGAATTTTACTTTTTAAAAAGAGTGACTAACAAGAGGACCTGAGTTCAAATACGTTCTTAGACCAGATACTTGACACTTACTAACTGTGTGACCCTGGGCAAGTCACTTAACCCCAATTGCCTTGTCCAAAAAAATAAAATAAAATAAAAGAGTGACTAAATAGTCATACTCTTTGATCCAGGAATCCCACTGCTAAGCATGTATCCCAAGGAAGTCAAAAATAGGAAGAAAAATCCCATATACACTAAGATCTTCATAGCAGCACTTTTTGTGTTACAAAGAATTAGAAACAAAATGGATAGCCATCAATTGGGAACTAGCAAGCCAAATTGTGGTATATGGATTAATGGAATATAACTGTACTGTAAGACATTATGAAAATAAATTCAAGGAAACAACTCATGTCATTTCATGAATTAATGCAGAGTAAATGAAGCAGAACCAGAAAAACAATATATACAATGACTAAAATAATATAAATAGAAAGAATAATAAAATAAAGTTAAATGATGTGTAGTTCTAATGACCAACCTTGTTTCTGAAGCAGAGATGAAAAATGCACCTCCTTTCATTAGAGAGGTGGGGGGCTGTGGGTGTCAACTGTTGAGTATGTTATCAGGCAAAGTCAGTGTGTTCATTGGTAATTACTGAAATGTTTTTTCTTTTTCTTTTTAATCTCTGTCGCAAGGGATAGCTCCCTTGGTGAGGGAAAGAGAATGTTACAGTCAGAGAGAAATGCAATGAAAAACAAAAGTCATAAATTTTAAAAATAATTCATTTTAACTTTTTTAAAGAATCACTTGGGGGAAATGTTAAGAACACTTTTTTTAAACACAGAAATTAGGAAGTCAAGATAACCCATCCTCATTTCCCCTTTGCCATTTCTACAACAGACTGGCAAAAAAAGTCCATTAAAGTTTAAACCAATAAAAGGTGACTCAGTACTGTTCATAGCTGATGGCAACAATATA